GGTAGATCTATTTTTTAACATTTAAGCAAACTCCATAACCATTTTCCCTGGGGGTTGGGCAGTAGACATTCCAATAACAGAGTACAAATATTTCTTTATAAATCATATAGTATATGATTTATTTCTAGATCTTAGATATCAACCCCTGGTAAGATTGTGATATGCAATTTCTCTCATTCAGTGGGAGAACTTAATTTTTTTTTTTAAGATTTATTTACTCATACAGAACTGGGGTACAGGCCAGAGATGTGGAGGGTGAGAAGATTCACCAGGGACAGAGTGGGGAGCAGAACAGGCAGATCGAGGAAGTACACTGCTGAGGGGAGCAGCGGGTGGGTTAGAAGAGGTCTGCCGTGCCATATGGATCTCCTCCGGGCAGGCGGGGATGGAATTCATGCCGAAGTGGCTTAAGCTTCTTAGTGCAGTGGTTTAAGCTGCTGCGCCACCAGGGAGAGCCGGGAGAACTTCATTTATTGATTTTTTTTTTCCGTTGTACAGTAGCTTTCTATTTGATGCAATACTATTTATTTTTGTTTTATTTTCTTGGTATTAGCATCCCCAAAGACATCATTCAAGCCAATATTGTGGAGTTTTTTTTAACCTGTGTTTTCTTCTATGCATTTTAGAGATTCTGGTCTTAATATCCAAATATTAAATCTACTATGACTTAATTTTTGTTGTGGTGTTCTAGTGTGTCTGTTCTAGTTTCATTTTTCTGCATTTGGCTGGCCAATTTCCTCAAGGCCATTTGTTGAAAAGATTTTTCATTATCCATTGTATATTCTTGACTCCTTTGTCATAGATTAACTGTCCTTATAGATGTGAGGTTAATAATTTCTAAGCTTTCTATTTTATTCCACTGGCTCTTGTGTTTGTTTTTATTCAGTATCATACTGGTTTTATTATGTATAATTGAAATTTGAGAATGTAATATCTCCATTCCCCATCTTTTTTGACAAAATTGTTTTAGCAAAATAGGGTCTTTGTTGTTCCATATAAATGTCAATAATGATTCTTAAAAAAACTAGTGGAATTTTTCATAGGGTTTACATTGAATCTGTAAATTGCTTTGGATAAGATGGACATTTTGGCTATGTTAATTCTTCCAAGTCATGGAAGTGACCCTCAAAAATAATAAGTGAATTATAATGGCTGTTTTCTAAGTCACCAAGTTTTTGTTTATTTTTTTAATGGGTACCATTGTTTTACATACTTGATAATTTTTTTGAGTACAGGATTTCCCTTCAGAAATCCTATGTGGTTACCAGAATCCTCCCATCACTAAAGCACACATAGTCTTCTACCATATTCCATTTTTCTCCCACTGCAGTCTTACTTCTTCCTACTCTTTCCCTTCTGGATGCCTCAGAGGTATGGTCAACTTTCAATGGTTAGTTTTAAAGTTTTCCAAATGTCCACAAATTTATTTTGATTATGGAATTTCATATTAATATGACAGAAAAATGATTATGGTTGTTTAAAGGACAGGTGTTGGTGATATGATTTAACTTAAATAAATCATATGAATGAATCATATGAGTGAATACATCTAATCTCCAAAAGGAGATTAGGTTGTAAGAATCAAGAAAAAACATAATCCTGTCCTCCAGCACTGTTTATTCCCAGCTCTGACTTCTGACTCTACCTTCAAAATCACTTGATGAGTGACACCATTAGTCCTTTGCTAGGCATCACTAAAATAACTGTATGCTGTTGGCATTATGACCAGCATCACTAAGAGCTATAACACTGGTCTCTGCCTTTGACATATTTGGCATCCACTCCTGATGCTGTTGCTTTGATGCTGACCAGTCCAGTATCCAGGCTGCCCAGCCTGGCTAACTGCTGTACCTAAGTGTTATATTGTCATAAATAAAGTCACACATATATGGACAACTAATCTTTGACAAAGGAACAAAGTATATACAATAGAATAAGGACTTTTTGTTAAATATATGGTGTTGGGAAAACTGAATCACCACCTACAAAAAAATGAAACTAAACTACTACCTCACACCATGCTAATCTAACACCAACTCATGATGGATAAAAGAATTGAACAAAAGACCTGAAACCACAAAATATAGAGAGGAAAATGTAGGCAAAACACCTTATGTCATATATCTCAGTAACATGTTTAAATATTCATCTGCCAAAGCAAAGAAAGTGAAAGAAAATATAAACAGCTGGGACTAAATGAAACTAAAATGCTTCTGTACAGAAAAAGAGACATTAAACACAACAAAGAAACACCTTATTGATTGGAAGAAAATTTTTGCATTCCACACAACTAATAAGGGACTGATCACAAAGACCTCAAAGAACTCACACAACACAACAAAAACAAACCCAGTCAAAAAATGGGCAGAAGAACTAAAAAGACACTTCTCCAAAGAGGAAATGAAAATGGCCAACAGGCATATGACAAAATGTTCATCCCTTATAATCGGGGACATGCAAATCAAAGCCACAATGAACCACCATTGAGAAAAGCACACATTAAACAAAACAAAACAAAACAGGCAACAACAAATGTTGGCGAGGATGTAGAGAAAAAGAAACTTTCCTACGCTGCTGGTGGGAATGCAAACTAACCCAACCACTATGGAGTTGTGTGGAGGTTCCTCAAACTACTAAAAATGGAGCTTTCATATGACCCACCAGCAATTCCACTCCTAGGAATTTACCCAAAGGACACAAAAACATTAATTCAAAAGAATACTTACATCCTTATGTTTATTGCAGCACTATTTATAGGAGGTAAGCTATGAAAACAACCAAAATGCACAAAAATAGATGAATGGATTAAGAAGATGTGGTGTGTGTGTGTGTGTGTGTGTGTGTGTATAATGGAATATTACTTACCAATCAAAAAAGATAAATGCATGCCATATGCAGTAAGTTAGATGGAACTGGAGGGACTAACTGACTCAGTGAAATAAGTCAGAAGGAAAAAGAAAAATATTAGATGGTTTAACTTATAGGAGGAATATGGGGGTGCCAAATAAGGGATCAGGAAAAAATTATAATATACAAAAGTCAAACTTAACAGGCAACTATAAATCAGGCAATATGATGGGGAGGGGGAGATAAAAGGGGGGGCAAATGAACAGGGAAGGAAGAGCACAAGGGACTATAGTGATGGTGCATGGGGGAATTGATGGTGGGAATATTTCAAGGACCTGAGAGAAGAAAGCAAATATTATACAAAAATGGACAACAATGTAAAATATTTAAATATTTAAATGATGTAAAATAAATTTTAAAATTAAAAAAATGCTGTGGTGCCACCCTTGTAGAGATCTTCACAGAGACCTTAGTGAATTTTGACCTCTGAGAACTTTAACCTTCAAGATCTCTGCTTCATACAACCTTCTGACCATTTCCACTGCTAGTGGTCCTGCCTTTAATGCTTTCCTTTCTCCCCTTGTATAAATAAACACTGCTGTTGTTGAACCCTGAGTCTGAATATTATCTTGCAACTGCAATTGTAAGTACATCACCAACTGTGAAAACTTTGCCTCCTTACTCCTACACAATTTTAGTCTCACCTTCCACTATAAAAACCAGGTGTGAGTAACTTAATTCACCTCACTGGTTCCTGGATTCTGGGTGTAACACATATATACATGTCTAAATATTTGTGTCACTCCAAATCCCTATCTTGAAATCCTAAGCCTAAAGATGATAAGTAGTAGGCCCTTTGGGAAATGCTTAGGTATTGAAGACAGAACTCTCATATGTGAGATTATAAAGAGATTCCAGAGAGATCTGTAGTCCCTTTCTACAATATGAGGACAGAGTTAGAAGGAGTAGGTATGAAGCAAGAAGGGTCTCCTTAAAAAGCAACCATAGGCCCTCCCTGGTGGCAGATTGGGTTGAAGAACAGCACTAAGAAGCTTAAGCCGCTTCTGCATGAGTTCAATCCCTGCCTGCCCTGGAGAAGCTCCACATGGAGTGGCAGACCTCTCCTGACCCGCCCGCTGCTCCCCTCAGCAGTGTACCTCATTGATCTGCCTGTTCTGCTCCCCACTCTGTCTCTGGTGAATCCTCTCCCCCTCCGCATCTCTGATCTGTACCCCAGTTCTGTATGAATAAATAAATAAATCTTAAAAAAAAAAAAAAAAGCAACCATAGTGGTGACTTGATCTTGGTCTTTCCAATCTCCAAAACTATGAGAAAGAAGAAAAAAAAATTGTTTTTATCTACTTTATATAGGTATTTTTGTTAGAGTAATTTGGTCAAGTTGGCCTATTAAAAAAATGGTGGGTTCTTGTTTTTGAAAATACTGGGTGAATTTATGTATGTACATTATGTCCCAAAAGTCTTTGCAGAGTTTAAAGCTCTACTAACTACAAAATAATGTCACAAATTTAGAAAAATACAATTTGAAGGTTGGACTAAAACTCTCTCATTCTTAGATTTATAACTTTTGAATAATAAATTATTATCTTGTTTTGTATGTAAGTACCCCTGATTAAAAATGGGACAAAATTAACTACTAACAGTTCATAAAGCTAAATAAGTGTGAGATAAGTTTAAGCATTGTGCCTGGGTTAATAGGAGGCAAAAACCTTATGTGGGGAATTTGGAGTTGAGGATAGAGGAAATCCTCAGAGTGAAAATACCTTGAAAACAGCCCAAATTCCAAGGTCAACTACAGATTTTCAAAAACTTTGAGATTGGTGGTCCTCAAATCATGATCTCTAAGGAGCAAAGGGAAGCAGGTACTATCTGTACTCCTGGTGGAATGGACAAAACATTAACTAAGGCCTCTCTGACAAGATAAATTGAAAGGGATTTAGATTCTCAAGAGAAGATTTCAAGATCTTCTGGGCTGGATGGGGGGAGACTATGATTTCTACTTGCTCCTAATAACCCTCCCCCATCCTTAGGAACCCTTTGTGACAAAGCCACAGCTATGTGATGCAGCCTGGGATTCTGTGACCAAGAGAATTCTCAGGGCTCAGTTGTCTGAGGGAAGGAGTGTGACTCCAAGGATGGAGAATTACCTCTTTCCTCTGAAAAGCAGTAGTGCTACCTGGCTGGGCTCTGTCCCTAATTCTTGGGTGATCGATACCATCTTTGCCTTCCTGTGTGGACTGGGGCTCTTTCTTCTGTTACTCCCTTGCCTCCAGGTTTCTCCATCCTTACCATCTAGGAAACATAGAAACATCAGGGAGGTAAGGAATCTTTGCTCAGTCCAATAGATAATATATCTTTTTTCTTAGTTCCACTTTTCCAAATCACTCAAGAGTCTACTCTTGAGAAGAATCAAGTTAGGTCAGGCATGGTTTAGAATGGGCTCTAGTATTGCTATCTGAAGAGCTCAGAGTGGGTATCCAGATATAGGGGAAGGCTTCAGGGTCAAGTGCCCACACTCAGTGTAGTGATGGTGACTGAGTTGGGAATCTCTTCAAGAAGACCCTGAGTACTGGCTTGCCAACACTGGCCTTCCCCTTTCCATTGCCAGTCTTTCCTCCATGTCGGCACCTACCTGAGGACTGCTGAGCCCCTGAGGGTCTTAGAGCAGAGACTAGAGTAGAATCCAGGTCTCAGGAAGTAGCGTTCTGGCATAGCTCAGACAAGCCTATAGGTCTCAAGATACATATATTTATTGAGCAAAAGAAGAGAGAAGAAATTCAATGGATACCACAGAAAATCCTTCCTTACATTCTTCAAAGAAATGTAAATTACCCTATTTAAAGGGGTAATTACAGGGGTTTATAATGACATAAATCTGAAACTTATATAATGTTCTGATGCAAAATTACTTCAATAAAAATAACACAAATTTACAAAACAAAAAAAATGGTAAGGGAGAAAAACAGGACTGACTTAGATAAAGCTAGAGAGTCATGCTCACAAACACTGAAAATCTACAAATTGTCTGGAGGAGAATGAGAATTGAGACACTGACTCTCATTTCTTCTACTTTCTCAGCATCAAAGGGAGCCACGGGGGAGAAAAAGGAGCAGCAAGAATAGTCAAACTGTGGAAGGTGAGCTGTCATCCAGCCCAGCACTCCCCAGGTGTTAAATTCCATCTCTCCTGTCCCTGAAGTCACAGTTCCATGGATCTGAGGATGTCAGTGGCACAGCCCATTCCTCAGGAATCAGCCTTTAGGAAGGTTCCTAGGAAGGAAACCGAACCTGGATAGCTCCCAGTTTCCATTCTTGAAAGGAAGTTATGGGAGGCCTATAAATGCCTTGTTACTCAGCGAGGGTTTGTAGGCTGGTATAGACTCATAGTAGAGGCTGGACTGGGACATGGACTAAAGTTGGACTAAAGTCCAACTGAGGACGTGTTGTTTAACTTTCTTCAGATTCCTTTATTAGGTGAGCCTTGTCCTTTCTCCCTTACAGGGAACTCATGAGGTCTCAGGGTGGAAGTGACTTTTAGATGACCAAGTGACCCCAACATGAGCCTGGTTATGACTTGTCAGGGATCATGTGGCCTTGGCCCCTGATGCTTAGGTTCCAGAGTTAAATGCCCCAAAAGTCTCCCCTAGTGGAATATTTCACTCAGACTCCTGCCAAGGCCCTACACCCTCACCTTCACCACAAGCTACTGATGACACAGCTACTGATTTCCAGCTTGTAGAGATTGCCTGAAAGAACTGGAGGCGGCTCGCAACCTGATTTCACTTCTGCAAAGGTAAAGTTCCGCCCCCACCCCTTGTGTCCTCCTTCCTGACAGAGCCCATGGTGTGACCCCAGGGATGCTGGCAGAGCTGACCTGGGAGGGTGAGCCACGGGGATGGGGGGGTGCCTAGAGCCCTGGAGTGAGGAATAGAAGGACCTTTGTGAAGAAAGCAGGGGGCAATAAAGTTACTCTAAGCCACTGAAGGTGCCTATCCTTGCCCAACTTGTCCAGTCCTCCTGGCACTTTCTGCTCCTGGTTGCAGCGTGTGCCTCCTATCTTCTGCAGCCAACTGGAGAAGTGCCATGACAGGGGAGGCTTTTGTCATCCTTTAAGTCAAGACTACCCAGATGAGATGTGCAAAGCAGCACCTGCTGGATCACGCTGGCCATGCATGGAACATGCCGACAATGATGTCACCCCAATGTTCCCGTCACCTTCCCCAGCTCCTCCAAATGAGCACTCTCTACCTCTGGCCTCCACCTTACCACAGGGTCCAAAGACCTCTTTATTAAGCTCCATTAGTTCACAGTCATCCATGAATGCCTCTGAGTCAATAGAGCCTTTCTTTCCCCCAGAATGCCTTTCCCCTTCCCTGCCAGACCCCCTTGAGTCGGGGGCCAGTCCTTCACCTCTCCCAGTTCCCACTGCATCACTGCCATTAGACTTCACTCTGACTCTTCCTCAGGGTGACTCTTTGGCACTCCCACTGCACACCTTCCCACAGAGCTCATCTCTACATACCTGTCGGCCATTTTCACCCATCCCAGTCATTTCAGGTATTGACCACCTAAGTTGTCCCGTATCAGCCATGACCTGGTGGCAGAAAGCCACCAAAGCCTTATGCTTCTCAACTTCATCACACTGTGAGTCCCAGGAAGAGCATCTTTCCTGCCACTCACCAGGGGCCTTGTTCTGTGAAGACTCCATTAACAGACAGACAGAGACTGGCAGCCTCTCTCTGCTCAGTTGCAATGACCAGGAGCTCCTGGAGAGACAAGCCACAAATAGAGTAAAGGTCAAGGCTTGGAAAGAAAAAGAAGATGGATCATATTCAAAACAAATGAATCCAGAAGACCACCTAAATTCTTTGGGTAACATATTTAAATCACTGGATGCTAACCAAAACACCAGAACTCCCCAGCCCATCTGGAGTACAGAAGTCAAACCAGAACATCTGCCTGCCTCTCAGCAGCTGTCATATCCCAAGGTCTTAGAAGACCATCTACAACAGAAATACAACCAACTTTTCTGGGGTCTCCCTTCTCTTCACAGTGAATCCTTGGTGGCTACTGCCTGGATCTCTGAGAGCTCTTCAGCACTTCAGTCTCCTTCTTTCTTATTCAATGGAATTACAAATGCCTGTCCAGTCCAAATTCAAGCTAAAATATCACCATTGCTTTCCCAGTCCCAACCCTTGTCACATCTGGAGTTCCCATCTCAACACTTAATTCCAACGATACCTCAATTTCAGCCCCTATCTCAGTGTCAGGTTCAGATACAGGTCCCTATTCAATCTTCTCTCCCAAACCTAACACCTTCATCCCAGATCAGAGATTGTGGAACATCTTGTTTTACGACCCAAAATGAGCCACAATCTCCCATCCCAACAGAGATTCAGCATCTGAAATGGTCCTTATTGCACAAGCAACTAGAATGTGGGTGGACTTTATCTTCTGTAGTCAAAAGATCTCAGGAAATCTTTAGTGTCTTCAATGTCAACCTTTCCGAGGACAATTGGGTGGTCTCCATTCTTCCTGAGAATTTCCCAATCAGTCCTGAACTCCGAAAGCAACTAGAGCAACACCTCCAAAAATGGCTCATCCAACACTGTTGGGAGCTGCCCCAAAGGATCCAAGAATCTCTGGAACTAAAGCAGCTTCAGTGTAACTTACCAAATATAAATCAGTATGACTTACCAAATACAAAGGGAAAGCATGGAAGGTCACAGACCTCTCTATTTATAGGTGAAAGCAGCAAGAGCACACAGAAGGTGGGGTTCCAGCTAAGCAAAGATGTGGGCCAGGGTCTCGAGCATATCCTAGGAAAGGTCTCAAAAGATAAATCCACGAGCTCAGCAGTTTCTTTTGTAAAGGACTGGGGGGTGAACTTTGAAGAGTCAGACAATGACCTTAGACCCTCGAGTAGTGAGTCATCCAGTGATGAACATGTTCTCAAAAGATATTTGGGCGATAAGTCAGGGCAGATCAGAGAGGATTTTATACAGCGATCTTGGGTTGCTGTCACCCATGTTTTTCCCAGGTTTAAGAAATACAAGGAAAAAAGAAATCTAAGAGTATTGAAGGATTGGGAACCCTGCGTGAACACCTCCCGTCGGATTACCTTCCTCCATCCCTGCACTCGTGAGGTAATAGAATCACATATTATAAGGCTTTGGGTCAAACACAGGTGGGTCTTACCACTCAAGATGCTTAAGACCATAAATTGCTTTAAATTTAAAAAAAAGGCTCAACCCTTGCCCTTTCTGCAATTTGACTCTTCCCCTACAGCCACCTGTGTGCCCGGGGCTGACCCAAGAGTCAAATTTGCCACGGCCCAGGAAGAATTTCCTCAGGCCGAAAAGATAACAAAAGAATCGGGTCCCACCCTGGAGTGGCCTCTCCTTGCTCCCTCACCTATTGGTGACCTGGGAGGGATCTCATCTGAGGGCAATCATGAGCCCTCAGAGACACTTCTGACTGAACAGGAGGCCAAGTTGTCTTCTCACTCCTTTACATCTCACCACAAGGTTCAAAGCTATGAGAGTGGGACTATGAAATGGCCCGACTCAAGAGATGAGCCTGGGGGTTTAGATGCACAAAACCCCTGTGATAGGGTAAAAACAGCAGAGATGAACTCACAGCTCCAGTATTTAAGGGACCAAGAAACAACTGAGGTGTTAGAAGGTGAGAGGTCCCCTGGTCTACAACCACAGTCTAAAGACATCTTGGGATCCAGCGTACCGACAGAATTCCCAGCTGGAAATGTGCACATGAGGAATTTAGTGACCCCAATGACAAGTGAGAGCCCCCTACTTCCTAGAATGTATGATTCCCAAGATTCAGGAGAGTCATGCCTTAATATAGAAGTTGCAGGTGAGCTTAATTTCAGAGCAGAGATAAAATCAGAGGAACAATATATAGATTATCCTACATATGTGTTTCCCACTGAGGACAATTTGGTTCCTTGGGTGCCCCATTGCCATCTCCAGAGAACGTCTTGTGGAGAAGTAATAGCTTCCCCTATGATATGTGGTTTCATAGCAGACCAAAGGAGCAGCACACAGCATCAGGAGTTCAGGATCTTGAGACTTCAGGACTCATGGAAGAGGCAGAGTAAAGTAGCTGACCCTCCAGCATGTGAAGGGTGTATAGAATTGCAGACATCTCATATTGGAAGTTGGAACCACCCTACCCAGATCAAAAAAATAGTAAACTCTCTTGGAAGTAAATGCCTCCAGAAGCAAGTTCCTTCAGAAAGCTTCTTCAGAAAGGGGATGAGGCTCTTTTTTCAGTGGATTTTCTCCAATAAGAAAGGCAAAGGTCAGGGTCACATGCCAAAATGTAAACCTGCATTACCCACTGTGCAGAGACAGCAGTCAGGCAAAAGCAAATCTATTATGGATGGTGAGACTGCCGAGGCTCGGGCACTCATGGCCACTATTGGACAGATTCTAGAGGAGAAAGTGGCACTTCACCAGGAGCTTCAAGCCATGAAGTTAAATGAACACAAACATGAACTCCATTCCTCAGTATGTGGAGGTTATTGCTCTTACAGGTCTTCCTCCCACACAGAGAAAGGGAAAAAGAGTCTTACAACCTGCAGTCACCAAGTTACTCTCCGAAACCAGCACTGTTCTACCAGGGAAAAAAAAGTCAAACCCCGACAGTCCTTAAAAAGTGTAAGATTCAATGATAATCATGACTCAAGGAATATCCCATCGACACACCCCAAAAAGACTGTGTCTCCTACCAGTGCCTGCCAGCATGGGGCAAGGATTCCAGTTGTTCCAGGATGCTATCACCACTGCCCAAGACACTGTCTTTTTCAGGGAGGTATCTTTCCTGGTCAACCATAAAATGTTTCTCTAGCCCTTCTCTAGCCCTTTTCCATGTCTCCAAGGAAAGAGTCAGTCCATGTAGAGAAAACCTCCTCCTTGTTAGCACATCCAAGATGTTTCATGTTCCCCTAGATAAGTTTTTTCTCATGAAAGCATAATGTAGTGGCTTCTGCCTGTGTTTCTTTTGGGATGTACTTTGAAGGGATGGGCCTTAGAGGAAGAGGCCGTAACTGACATCTAGGGTGCGAGCAAGTTCCTTATTCCAAATCCTTTCATTGCAATTATGTTTGTCATTATATAAATAAAAAAATACTATAAAACATGAGAAAAATCTTTAAAGATCTCACCCTAGACTCTATTTCAATCCATCTTTTCCCTGTCTTTAACTTTACCCCCAGTGCAGTATAGGTTCATGAAGACATCAGAGAACTGGATATTCCCACTCAGATTCCAGAAGTGTAAGAGCTGAGTGGTTTCACATGTCACAAAAAGGAACAAAATTTGGGGGTAGGTGATGAAGGGTTGTCAGTTTAGAAATTAGTGAAATCTTACTCCTAGATCTGTAGGTAGGTGCCCCTTTCTTCCTGATACAGGCTGTTTCTTTAAAACAACAACAACAGACTCTTCTTAGCTTATCCTAATGACATGTAGAGTCCCCACTTCTACCTTTCAAGTGTTCTAGAACAGCTGTGAGACAGCACATCCCCCTCTGTGAACACAAGTGGAAAAAGTTTAGGGAAGTTGTTTCTACCTGCCCCAAAGGAATGAATTTTCTATTCATGGGTCACCAACCTTCCTATTATGTTAACCCCAAAGGAGAAGTTCTGGCTGAACAGAACAGAAATGTGACTGTGTTTAAAAACTATCGGAGTGTTACAAGTTGTGAACTGAGGGTAGGATGGAGATGAAGAATTGAAAAAGATGGATCAAAGGAAAGAGGAAGTGTGACATAAAGCACCATGAATAGTGCAGCAAAACAGGGATGCCCTGGTGTCTCACTGTCATGTACAGGCTAAGAGGAGAGACAGAAGCTCAATTGCTCACTGTGACTTAAGTCTTTCACTCTACCCTAGTTCCCAGGCCACAGGCTTATTGGATCGTGTCTTGGGGTCAAACTGGGTTGTAGGAAAGCAAATCTAAGATGGTTAATCTTTTAACAATGTATTGAATAAGCTGGATATGATTGCCTCTTGATTTCTAGAAAGGATGATTTGACAACAGGTGTAAATTTACCAGGGAACTCAGGACTTGACTCGGTCTGGTGACCTTGACAAACATATAGTCCAAGGGAGAGGTTGGAGGGAGGTAGTAAAACGTCCAAGGGACCTTTTATACAGTAAAACCCACCTGGCTTCAGTGCTTTCTTACCCCCAGAGCGCTGCAGAAGAAGAGACAATCAGATAGGATTGTCACACATGGGGCAGGAGAGACTTGTTTTAATAGGATGGGCTCATGGTAGGCGTGGTCCACTGCTTGTAACCTGGCTTTCCTTAGTTTGAGCCCCCTGTTCATGAGAGAAAGCTAGCAGACAGGAGGAATTTCTCTTAGAGTGCCTCCCAAGCCTTGAGCCACACACCAGGCATGCACTGGGTTGTCATTCTGATGTTGGAGAATCCTGCTCCATTTGGGGAAGGGGGGCAATTCTGGCCCAGAGGACAAGAAGCAGGCTATCCCTGTGCCTGCATAGCTGCTCACCCACCAAGAGGAGACCAATCCTGCTAATTTTTCTGGTTTCACCTTGAAGCCACATCCTGTGACTGAACCCCAATTTTCAAGACAGCCTCTAGAGTGGGAGCAGAAACAGGAGGGAACTGGGACTAAGGGCAAAGGGATACCTCTGCTTTCTTGGGAACTCAAGATAGTTTGGCACAGAATTGGAATCCTGAAGATGGCTACCGCAAGGTCCTCTCAGATACTGAGATGTGCTAGTGCTGGGAAGGTTGCAAAGCTAGATTCTTGTCCAGAGTAGTGCCAAAAAGAAAGGAACTAGAACATTTCCTTACATTGTTTTCCTGCTCAGTTCTCCAGAAGTCACAGTAAGGCCAGAGATGGACCCACACAGAGAAGTTTCACAGAGACAATAAACAGAACCATCCCAGAGACACTTCTCAATACACATATCTTTCACAGAGACCACCGCTTGCCCCATAAAGATCTCGCACTATTGCTCCACAGACCTCAGACAGAAACCTACCCAGAGCCTTCCCAAAGATACACTCCTATAGCATCACACAAATGTCTTACTCAGAGATGACAGTACAGAAAGACTTCGTGTGGCCTCTCAGAGACATCTCACAAAAACTTCAGAGACCTCCTCTAGGAGGCTCTAGGAGCACTACACAGAAACCACACACTCAAACCTGATGCAGATTCTCTGCAGAGAGCTCACATTCACTCTTCATGATCCTAAGGAACCCCCCTTTGACAGATCTACTTGGCCTACAGGCAGCAGGAGAAGGCTAGCATCAGTTGCAACCGTTGACAATCTTGAAACAGGAATTTTTGTTCTTTTCTAATGCCATTGACACTGAACAAAAAAACTGTTCACAGAGATGCAGATTTGAAATATTAATTCCTTGGCAAGTTGTTGTTATCTAAGAATCACAAATTTTCAACACAACTAAAATACTGTCAGTAAGAAAAAAATACCTTCTTTGTCTGGTTTTAGTTTATCATCAAGCCAAATGATATCAATGTATTTTTTATTTCATTGGGAACAAAACTTGAACTTGAGATGCCTGACATGTACTTTGAGAACATAATAAAGACCTGAAACAAATGTACTCTAGGAATAAAATAAAGTAGGAATAAGGCACTTGGACTGACACTTACCTCCTTGGAGGCTGTTTAACTAGCACATTATTTTCCATGTAATAGTTTGCATCAGGTTTATGGACATTTTTTGAAAAACAGGTTACCAATTATGAGTCAATTTTCTGGTAATATTCCTACTAAATCATTTAGCAGAAGTGGCATTCCCTCTGTAAACAGCATCCTGTCCCCAAGGTCATTACAACCTTATCACCACATTCCTACTGGACTGCATGCTTGAGAGACAGAACCATGGGGGAAAAACAAACAAACAAAAAATAACTCTGTTCCTTATAATTTAATGTCTCAGTACTTCAAAGACAAATTTTTATTTATCTTTTGAGAAATTCAGTAATGCTGTTATTAAGATATGAAAAGACTAGAAATTGGCCCTCCCTGGTGGCGCAGCGGGTTAAAGCACAGCATCGAGAATCTAAAGCCACTTCTGCATGAGTTCGATTCCCGCCTGCCCCGGAGGTGACCACATGGCGCGGCAGACCTCTCCTGATCCGCCCGCTGCTCCCCTCAGCAGTGTACTTCATCGATCTGCCTGTTCTGCTCCCCACTCTGTCTCTGGTGAATCCTATCACCCTCCACATCTCTGGCCTGTACCCTAATTCTGTATGAAAAAAAATAAATCTTAAAAAAAAAAAAAGACTAGAAAAACATTATAGCTCTTGAATTGGTTTGAGATTTATATTTTTCCTCAGATACAATTATTATTCTTTTCTCCCCCTATAAACTGTTTTCTTTTGACACCATACAACAATTTAAACCTAAAAAAGAAAATTAAAATATGTACAGATTTGATGTGGGGTCAGTCTCTCCAGAAGGGTCAGGTTTGTTTTCCTCAACATGCCCACATAGGGCTTTTGTCACTTTTGTACAGGAACTAGAGATCTCTAGAGGAACTGTGAGTCTCAAGAAGACTATTGCCATTATGTAAGAGTGCAGATTATTAGTTTATTTTCTTACATCTGTTAATTTTTGGACAGCATTGAATTTCTCTCTTCTGGGTTATTTCCTGTAGTTCTCCCACCACCATGCCCTCACAGTCCATCACGAGAAGACGTTGTGCTCTTCCTTCCCTCCCCTATTTTGACATGTCTCCCCTTCTCCCACGCTGTATGCCTCAGATCTGTGGTCAGCAAGAGTGCAGATTATTTTGAGTAAAGAGCAGCAAGATCCTGAAGTATAGGAAAAAGTCTTGCTTTTGCCCACGTCCTCTGATCTTCCCAAATCAAAGAAGAGCCCCTGGCTACCTGAGCTGCTACACTTTAAAAAAAAAAAGATTTATTTATTTATTTATGCACACAGAAGTGGGGTACAGGCCATAGTTGCGGGTGTGGTGAGAGGATTCACCAGAGACAGAGCGGGGAGCAGAACAGGCCGACCGAAGTACACTGCTGAAGGGAGCAGTGAGCAGGTCAGGAGAGGTCTGTTGCGCCATGTGGCTCACCTCCAGGGCGGGGATTGAATTTTGCTGCGTCCTAACCCATTGTGCCACCAGGGAGGGCCCTGCTACACTTTTCTTAACCAGAGCAGTTGCCACTGCTGTCCTGCACTATATGACCAAGAAGAATGCAGGTTGGAGTCTCTCTCTTCTGTTTATTTATTTATTCATTCATTCAAGGTTCTATTTATTTATGCATACAGTCCTGGGGTACAGGCAAGAATGCAGGGATGCTGAGAGACTTCACCAGAGACAGAGTGGGAAGCAGAAGAGGCAGATTGACTATGTGCACTGCTGAGGGGAGCAATGGTCTGCTGCACCATGTGGGTCAGCTCCCTGGCCTGGATGAACTTGTGCTGAAGCGCTGCAGCTAGCCTCACAGTGCTGCAGCTTTAACCTGTTGAACTACCAGGGAGGGCACCCAGATGTAAATTTATTAGTGAACATGTCTTCTTTATCTAAGAACCTTTCTCTACCTTGCTCTCAGAGCAAGGATGAAGCAACATTTTCATTGCCTGGTATGTGAAGCCTTCTCTCTTCTTGATGGCCCAGATCCCTAAACACAGAATAAACTGCTCCATTATTTTTTACATATGCAATGCTGTAAACCCAATGTTCCTCAACTAAAAAATAATAATTTACAACTGTGTAAATTCTTCATAAATAAATCATTAAACTTTGAATTTTCTACTACTAATGTGTCTGAAGTTAATATGTTGGTCCAACAAGCCTTAAAAGAAACCAAGTGGGATACAGAAAATTTTTCCTATGCCTCCATATATCCCACTACCCTGAAATGAAAGGGAAGGAAATACTAATATACCAAACATAGATGAATCTCAAAACATGCTGAGTAAAAGAAAAAGGGAACACTCAAATTCTAGTTACTAAAATTTAAGTGTGAGAAAACAAAAATCACTAAAAACAAATCATTGGTCTGTTTTTGTAGGAAGATGGCACCTTTGGTTTACATAGATTCAACCAAGAAAACATGTGGTTATTAAAGATCCAAAAGACTCAAGCCTCCAACTAGTATTCAGAAGGCTCCTCAAAATCTGAGCTTCTCAATGATTTACCTATTTCACAAGTATTTTACAACATTTCAAGGTTTTTACAAAGAAAATACAAGCAGGAATGTTGTCTATGCATTGAGGAAAACAAAGAGGGTTCTTAGAAATTACTTATCTATTTACAGTCTCACATTCTGGGACTGGAAATTTTAGCAGTGTCACATATTTCAGGGTTGATGTTCTTTGAAACTTCTAATTTGTCTGGAGGCAGCAATTTCTAAAAATTTTATACAAAGCATTTTCCCTGTGCACAAATTTCTTCAGCATCAGACCATTTAGGCATACTGATTCTTGTTTTGCATGTGTTAGTTGGGGCCAGGGAGAGGGATACTCACTTTATTGTTAGCTCTGATTAATAATTTTTCTCCATTTTTGGTAAAATTATTCTTGCATTGATGACCATTTGGATGATGTTTTATTAATCCTTCTGGAAATCTTCATGCTCCATTGACCTGACTGCCAGTTAACCAGTTTCTATTTACCTGTTCTGGAACCCCACTGTTTTCTTACTCCCTGCTTTCAATTTCAATGCCTAAACACATCTAAAACTCTTTGTGCATAAGAAATTAGTGTAATCAATTATTTTATCACAGTTTTGATTGTGATATGATGAAATATGACATAAATAATAACATTTACACAGAAATGAGAAAAAATTAACTAAGGTTGCAATTATTTTTAAAGTTATTTGAGAAAGTAAAAAACTCAAAAGGACATCTTAACCATCTAAAGAAACCAATACATGTTTTATAATATTATTTCCTAATTTTATTAATTTTCTACCTTGATCTAGTTATTTGCACCTTATGATTAACCTGATTAGACTTTGTTAAGACTTGCATTAAGTCATTACCTCCAACAGTAAACCTTTCTTTTGGCTGGTCTGTGGAAGAGACACTGTTTAGATAGGGATACTCCAGCAAACATATTAATTTTTAACTGTATTTTCATAAATTTTTATATGGTTATGGAGTATTAGAGTTCTGGTAGTTCCACTATTGAAACAAATGCCAACTATTTGAATCAACTATCATTTCCTTTTCAAACTGCCTCCCAATCTCCACTCTCATCTTCAAATAACATACTGGAAGCTTAGATTTAATGTTTACAATAAAAGTCCCTTTTCATGGTTGTGTCTGTCTCATTTGAAAAAAATTCACATTGTCTTAAGCTCTGCCCCTTTCTAGAAATCATTACTGTGTGTTAACAGCCCATGCGGTCTTACCCACCAGTCATACTCTTGTCACATATAGGTGCCAATAGCTTTAGGACAGCTACCACAAAATGTCATGTACTCCATATCATGTTTGGTAGGTGGATGAAACCTCCAAATATACAATAGTTTGTGTATTCTATAAAGCCTTCCATAACCTCACTGGAAATATATTTTCAATTTGGTTTCATTGGTCTGTGTCTCTATTTTTGTTCCAGTACCATGCTTTTTTTCATTATTATGACTTCGTAGTTTTGTTTGAAGTCCAGGGGTGTAGTATCTCTATTCTTCTTTCTCTAGTCAGAAGCACTTTGGTTATATAAGCTTTGTTGTGGTTCCATATGAATTTCATCAATATTTGTTCTTTCTTTTAAGAACGGTCATTCAGATTTTTATGGAATTGCATTGATTCTGTAAATTGCCTTTGATAGAATGGCCATTTCTGATAATGTTAATTCTACCAGCCCATGAACAAAAAATGTCTTTCCATTTCTTTGTATCTTCTAATATTTCCTTTATCAATGTTTTGTAGTTTTCTTTGTATGTCTTTTACCTCCTTTGTAAGGTTTTCTTCCCAGGTATTTCAATTGCGGGGGGGGGGGTTTTCTTGATTTCTTCTTTGCATATATTGTTTGCATATAAGAAA